ACGTGCTTTTTAGTAACATGCATAATTGCATATATCAAGTTATTCAACTTCACGTGCCTTTTAATTTAATGTGATCAAACATTCACTACACACGAAAGTGCACATTTCAATGAATGTGGACAGTCTAATCTTCTTGCCACCTTAGTTTTCTTTCCCGCGTAACCATTTTCTATTAATGGCGATCCTTATTTGCCAACATTTCTACTCAAATAGTTCTTTCAATAGCATTTGTTGGATAGCATTTTTTCTATCAAATATAATATAATCTATACAAATTCTTGTCTAACCTGGACATTAGTTTGATCGACCACCCGACATACCTTTCACTACAAGAAAAATTGCATTTGGCGACGCTTATTTTTTTGTTTACTAGCGCTTATTTTTTTCTGACATCAAATTTAGCAACACAACTCGCCAATAAGCGTCATTAAACAAAAAAAGAAGCGTCGCCAAATGCAGTTTTTTTTGTAGTGTTTTTTTTTTTTTAAATAAAAGTGCATACTTTGCTATGAACTATAACTTTTATTTATATAACTTTTTATCGTATGGTATTTCTGTTTGAAAGTACAAATCTAAAAGGAAAATATGAATGTCTAACCATTAATATTAATTTTACCGACTAACAATAGGGTTGTTAGACTCCTGTAACTTTTAGACAACAATACATTTTTTTTAAATAAATATTCATGCTTTCATTTGATGTTGTATTTAAAAATAAATAATGGTATAAGTGTGAATTTTTATTCAAAATTAAAAGTTGGACAAACGGACCGCCTAACCTTACTATTAGGTTTAATTAAGTTAATATTAGGAAACAACAGTTAATTTATCATAGCAAACTGTACATAAAGTGTATTTGGTGGGTAGCAAAAAGACAATAAATGAAAATAGTTGATATAGGCATAAAATGATAATAAAGTGAAAATAGTATATGCAATTTCATTAGTAAATATTTTCATTAGCTATCTGATAATTAATACATAGTCATGGTAAAATGCTGAAAAATTGGTTGACATAAAGAATTCGTTTGATAAATTGGCAATTGAGGCAGATAAAAATTACCAACAAATAGGTAAAATCTTTAATATAATAATATTTATGCTGTCCTCACTATTAAATATTTTTTTAGTTATTATTCATAGTTTAATAGATAATTAAGCATCATATCTACTGAATATTAATTTGAATGATACAGACAAATTACCAGTGTATAAATTTGCATAGAAAATACCATCATAATAATGCCATTTGTAGAGAAAAAAATTACAATAATGCTAGCTAATTGATTTTAAATTGATATAAAATCTCATTTAGATTAAATCTTTAGATAATTGACTTATTAAATTCACAAATTAGTTTGGGTAATAGATAGTTTATTTGATTAGTTCTTACTTTTTTGTTTGCTCAAAATTAATGCTGATTGTAAAAAGGTTTAGTGGAGCAGCAATTTCTGTAGACAAAATTGACATAAAATTATGTAACATCAACTATTATAAACTCCCAACTCTTTACCATGCGTTCAGTTTTACAAACCGTCAATATAATTTTCTCATCAAAGTCAACAAATGCAATTAATTGGACGCTAATTATAGTAATTAAAAGTCTAGAAAGGCTTCATGAATAATTTCAAAAAATTCTTTGTCTCACCAATGCAAACAAAGTCACCTACTGAAAAATTTGACACTCAAATTTACTTTTAATGACAGTAATAAGACAATATCCAATCAATTTCTGCATTTATCAGGCTACCGATGAAAAAAAGGTCAATATATTATGGCAATTGAACGACTTAATAGGAACACTATGTTGAATAAATATTTATTCTTATTCTGCACAATATAATGCTTTTATTTGAACTCATGCTTTGACTTTGAAAAAGAGGATAGGATGTCTCAAATAGGGGGGTATAACATACAAAAAGTAAACAANCTATTAATTTAAATTTCATCCACAATTTACTCCTTATTCATCTGATTTTCATACATGAAACACCAAATATTATCATTTTTTAATTAGGTAAAAATAAACATTCATATTATATGTAAATATTTATTTTAAATTCATTACCCAAGTATTTGGAATTTATTAATGATTTACTAGCTAATAGAAAAGAATTTTAATGTAAATTTTATTTAAGAGCCCTACTAGCTATTTGGTTTACACAAATTTTATTGTTAAGGCGTCTTAATACTAATATAATCACACCTTTCTGGCTTTCTTAATAATATTATACTATTTTGTTTATATATTTTATATGTTGAAGTACGACATTTAAATATGAAAACATGTGTATTTGTTGAAAATGTATTACTCACTAACCATTAGACATGTTAACATAACTATCCTTTTTAGAGCAAACCAATAATATGATTTATGACCTGAATCCAACGTAACAACTTCAAAATTTTACTATTGAGTATTGAGGACATCAACAATATTTTGTGTATATTCCGAAAATTTTATGTCATGTAACAAATAGACTCACTATAGAAAATATGTTCTTAAATGCAAGCGGAAGTGAACATAATCCAACTGACGTGACAGTAAG